CGGCTGTGAGTCGGTAAGAGGAATCCGCACCGCCCTCTTCCTTTCATGCCAGGCCCGGGAACCTCGGCGGCTGCCCCGGTGCCCCTCGGAGCGGGAGGCTGCGGGGCAAATGGCTCGCTCCCAAGAAGGCCCACTTCACGTTACTGCGGCTCCCGGGGGGCTGCGGGCTGCTTTTTATTTTAATGCCCCCCCTCTCGAGAGAGGGGGATCCTGATGTGATCGCTTCTCTAAAGCCACGTTGCCATTAATGCGAGTCTTCTGGAAGGAGAACGTCTGCAGCTTGTATCAAAAGAAATATTTTTCTTTGGGTACAATTAGCAGCGTTACTGTGCTGCAGCTTCCTAACATTCTCTAGATTTTGATCCCTTAATGTGTAACCATTCAGGTGAACAGAACCGAATTGGAAGTACAGTATATTTAACTATTGGGAAAACTATAAATAGGCTTGCTTCACCTTACGGAATACAAAGCCTGAGATTTGCCCCCAAATGAATGAGATGCTGGCAGGGGTGGGAGCAGGGGGCTGGGTATCAAATCATTTCTTACTACTGAATTGCACAGTCTGTATTTATATCAGGTTGGCAGCTCCTGTATGTGCAACATTAGCTTATTAGTGTGATATGCATCTGACATGAATTTCTGATGTATAGATACTCATATAGTAAGTAACTTAATTACCCAATTACAATATAATGCCTGTTGCATCCACCTCTGTGTAGGTACGTTTTGTTTACACTTCTAGTGACATCATGTTTAAATCAAAGTGAAAACAGAAGTCTCACAAGAATTTCAAATCAAATCATCTTTTTGGTGGGAGTGGGTAAAGATTCCTTGCATGGAATCTGAATATTATGGGATATTATTTGTAATCACGAACTTCAGCCTAAAATGATGGTGGTCCCACAAGTGCTGTGCTGCCTCTGAGTGCCTCAGAGATGATACATGGTGGTTGCATCAGTGGGGGGATGTTTGGCTGCTACTTTAGGTTTGCCCAGGGGTTGAAAAATGAACATACACACATATACAGTCTTTCCAAGCATATCATGTAAAATAACAAGTGAAATCACAGTGAAGACACATATTTGCTGACATGACATGGTGTTATATCAGGTGCCCAGCATAACAACACCAGTTTTAACTGTATGCAGGACACCTTAATAAATAGACATGTGGTACAGTAGTATTGATGCATTTTCTAAAACTGTATGTGGTTTTAGCAGTGCAAATGGTACATATGCATCTGTATAGCAGCATGCTTACAT